AGAGAGAGAGAGAGAGAGAGAGAGAGAGAGAGAGGGAGAAACATACTTTTATAAGAAATGACAGTGACAGTGACGTCCTGAAACACATCACGTGTTGTGTACATGCTCGTGTACTTCTCTGAGATGGCAAAATACCCTCTAAGTCTGTCTTTCTGGGTGGTCAGGAAAGTGCCATTAAAATGGAACGACGACTAATTATTGTCTCCAAGCATTTGACATTGGCACACCCACATTTGAATAAATCTACTGACGAAGAAGATGAATAGCAGAAAATCAAAATCAGATCATCCTACCAGGAGCGCTGTGTCTTGGGACACAGTGTGTGGGATAAGACGGCCAGTAGGCCAACAGACCAGACTTGTCTTGTCCGAACTGGTGGACACACAAGACAGAAACGACCCGACCGATTTTCGTCTTCCCGGCAAAAGATCGGGCCATGTCCGTCTCAGTTGACCCGTACGGTTAATCCACACCCTGTTTCCCAAGGCTGTGTCCTCGGTACAGGGCTATAAATAGTCCAGGTCAATGAACCCAAGGCGGGAATAAGAAATGAATGGGTTTTTAAAGGAAAATTGATAAATTTGTCAGTATGGATTTAAACCACGTGGTTTGCGCAGCGGCTTTGCTAAGTTTGAGGCGCTGCTTACGAATATGACATGAAATTTTAATCCGAACTCTAAATTAGAACTCTTTAATTTTTAGCTCCGGCAGGGCCTATGGCTCATGAGTCACGACCCGGCCCGGCTAAAATTGGGCAAGCGGCTTTCCAACAGACACGTCTTTTGTCGGGGCTTCTCGCTTTGTGTCTGTTGACACAGCCAAACGGACTTTTAACTGATTTCCTAGGAAATAAACTACCGACTTTCCTAGAGATGAGCGGAATCATGTGGGTTGGTGTCCGTCACAGTGGACACTGGCCCTAACGCCGAATCGTAGTGTTCCCGCCACATAGGGCAGGGCAATTAAAATAAATGGCTAAGAAAATAACAACAACAACCCCAACATAAACAAAGACACCCCCCTCCCAAAGCAACAACAGAAAAAGGATTCAACCCTCCCCCTCCCCCCCCACACACACACAAAAAGAAAAAAAATCAATTCCTTTCACAGGCCTGGACCGGAGATTGCGGTGACAGGCTAAGGACTGTCATGAAGCCCATTTTTAATGGGGACTTTTCTTTTGGTGGAAAGGGGAAACCAGAAGTTTGTTTTGTCGTTGTTTGTTTTTGATTGCTTTTAAAAACATTCTCTTCTGACAATTTATGGCAATGCTTTGGGCGTGAAAGATTCCTGTAGTCGTCCTGGTCATGTTTTTAGGGCTGTTGGTTGATAAAATATAGCTGTTTCGGTCTTGTTGGCAAGGTGGTCATCTTGGACAGTATCATTATAATATAGAAAATTAACTCAGGGTGTGTGTGTGTGTGTGTGTGTGTGTGTGTGTGTGTGT